CAATGATCTATGCTAAGCTACAGCTAAAAGTGCTACCGCCAGACCCGGAGATCGGCTGAATGGATTCGAAAACGGTAAAACTCAACTCTTTAACTCTAGGGGAGTTGGAAAATAAGCCTATTTTCAAAAATAGTGGAGTGTTCCTTTAAGGGAGACGTGATCCAAGTTAATCGTTACGCTTTCTCCAGTAGTAAGTAATACAGACCCTCTCATCTCCCTATAGTACGACAATCTCTGTCTCTGGGACCCGGACACCAGTGGCAGGAGGATCTTTTAGAATGAACTTGACAGGGAGCTCTGGGTGACTCCATTATTACAAATATGAAATATGAAAAATATGAAATGCAAAAACTACCACCTCAAGCCAGATGCAAGGCTGACGCTCTTCACCATGACCTACAGGGGACCCTGAAACACAATTACAAGTTGTACAAATTAGACACATAATTCATAAACATGTTTTGTTACAGCAGGTATGGCTGCATTATTTAAAACTCTATACATATACACCTAAAATAATCCCTTTTATACATATTCTTTATACGTATACACCTAAAATAATATATGGCCTTCTTCTTGGTTTTCTCCAATATCTTGTGTTCCGAAGATGAACGAAGGTCTTACAGGTTTGGAACGACATGAGGGTGAGTAATTAATCATAGAATTTTCATTTTGGGGTGAACTAACCCTTTAAGTTTTATCATTGGTAGAATATAGTAGTATTCATGCTATATGTTAAACCATTAACCCGCAGCAACAGTTTAAAATTAGTCCAACCCTGTCTCCTTTCTCTCCTTCTCGCCTCCCCCAGAGACACTATTGCAGGCGTCTCGTCAGGGCGAGGATGGAGCGCCGCCGTGTGGTCGATGGGTGTCAGTGTTGTACGAGAAATTACCCCGTTTACCCGCTCGCCTCTCAACGAGGTCACTGTCCCATAATTAACTCGATAAAACGCTATAAACAACTGTAAACACCGTTGATACACACACACACACACACACACACACACACATTCACACGCAAGCATAAGGGCTCAAACAGAGCAGGAGATTCTCAGATTAAAAAAAAAAAGTTTAATGACGAATGATGTCATTCGTGTATGAATGAATTCCTGTAAAATGTTGAGGTAGCCAATTAAAATAGTGTCAAAACACATATGACATTCAAAATAAATTTCAGTATATTTTACAGCATATCACCTGTTTGTTTGTTTTAGCAATCTTTGTGAGGTTCTAAGTGTATAATTACTGTATAAATATAATTATCATAATTATTATTACACACTAAGATAAGCTAATTTAGAGATTTATTTTAACAGACATTTAACAGCGTGCTTAAAGGGATAGTTCTGTCGAACAGTTGCTGGTAGCCATTGACTTCCATACTATCTTTTTACACAGAGAAGCATTCAGGTTTGGAATAACAGAAGAGTGGGTAAATGATGACAGAGTAGTATATATATATATATTTGGCTGTTTAAATCTGTAATGCACTGCAGCTGTAGACACTCAACAGAACATGTATGATTGTATGATCTTCACATTCAATAGGAGCTAAAAAGTAACTGCAAGCTCAGAGAAGCATTGTTACTTGTTAGAAAAGCTCTAGAATCATACATCATACAAAAAACAGCTGCAACCGCTCATTTCTTTGCAGATTATTTTAACTAAGATGGAAAGTAGGCATCCTAATGCTTGTTATATTAGATGGACCTTTGTTATGACGTATAAAGATCTGCAGAATAAACACTGCTGTCATGCGTTCTCTTATTTTTCAACTGAATAAGTCTATTCTTGCTAACAAAACTCGAGCAGAAAGAATTAAAACAGCAGGAAGCAGTTTCCAGTTCTGTCGGCTTGAAGCAGAAATCTACGAGGACGTCCAACACACAGGCCTACAACTATTTCTGAAATCCTGGCTTTCAGTTCTCCTCAGTGAAGGCGGTATCTAGTTCAGTACAATCCTTTTCAAACAATAATGAAGAATAAAGCCCTCAAATACTCACCAGAAATGACTACAAGAGCTTTATGACCACTTCATCTGAATTGCTCCTTAAAATCAGTAGTGATAAGTGTTGCTTAAACTGCTGTGTGCGCGTTTATTGCTTTGAACCAAGCAAGTTATCAGTCTATTTTCTGTGATGCAGATGACTAATGTTGTAAGCTTATGGTTAGGAGAAAGAGCCCACTGATTATCAGTGACAACTGACATTTATACAAGACTGCATTAAATGCATAAAGACCTGATTGATTTACAAGCCATCAGAATGTCATCTCAGCCATGTTTTTTTTTCTTCCTCAAATATGATCTCCATATGCATGCTGTATGAGAATGTGTTTATATTTTTTGAGGGGAGAAATAAAGCTATGAACTCTTTATTTCTGAAATGGAAAAGAAGAAACTCCGATAAATAAACAGATTTTCAATAAAACAAGACTGTGAACCCTGCAGCAACGTGTGTAAATGAGTGGGTCCCAGCAACCACTGAACGAACACTGAAGGAAAAGAGGCTTTTTTTTTTTTTTTGTAAAAAGTCAGTCATGTTTCATTTGATTACAACTTCTATATTTACAATAAAAAAAAAAAAAAACTCCAGACAAATACATGAATAAACCCAGGCAATATGGGCTTCATTTGGACAATATATATATAAAAAAAAAAAAAAAATCTTAACCATAACCATTTACAGGTAAACTCGTGGACTTTGACCGACCCGCCGTCCACTGACACTGACAGGAGGGCGAGGATGGAAGAATGAGTTTCCATTAGACAAGTCTGCTGTTACATTTACAGGTGCATCACACGAGTCTCTGCTCATTCTGAGCCAGCCTCGGCGTCTTTAGACTTTTTCTTCTTCTTCTTCTTTGCGCTCTCCATAACCTGTGTGTGAAAGAGTACGTTCAGAATTAGTGCGGTCAATCGATCAAAAAAAAAAAAAAAACACATTTTTCTGTAACAATCAATTGCCTATTAATATTTCTATTGTTATAATTTCAGTCAATCTCAAAATTAATGTAGAAACAACATGATGGTATATGTGTGTTTAATGGCATCTTTTTACAAAGTAGCCTGTTATTAATGAAGGCCAGTATCACTGATATCAATACTGCTACTGATGTCTCTTAAATGCATTTTTCCCTCAATTTTTGTCATTAATTATAGCCATTAAACATTGCGGTATAACCTAGTCATTTTTAACATTTAACATGCTTTGAGAAATATTACTCGCCTCAGTTTCTTCCTCTGCTGGAGCCTCAGCCGCTGCCTCTTCTGCTAGCTTCAGTTTCTTTTCTTTCTTCTTTTTCTTCTTCTCCTTCTTGATTTCTTCTTCCGTCTTTATATCCTTAGCAGCCGCCGTGTCACTTTCGCTTCTGCTCTCATCTCGCTTCCTCTAGAATAACCCAGAGAGATTTCGTTAGTTCAGTACCAATATGAAAAAGTGCAAGTGTATCCATGCGCTCCAGAAATCATACCTTTGGTGCCGTCTGACCAGCCTCTGCACTCTTTTTCACCTTGGGTGTGCTAGGAGAGGAAAGAAAAAAAAAAAAAGACAAATTAATTTCATTCCAAACCCATGCAGCTGACGAGTCTGAAGGAAGTGTGTAAGGGTTTGTCCACAGAGCTCAGAGGCGGTCAGACCCGCTGCAGACAGCACTGTCCTGGCCTCAGGGTTTCACTTTAGCAGACAGACTCCCTCTAGGGTCACAGCAGACCAAAAAGGGATAACAGTCTGCAGAAACGACGTTATTTAGTGTGATGCTTCTCTTCTGTTTGAATGAGCACTGTGGAGTCAGAGGCAAAAACATTGTTTTCCACCAAAATGGAGCTGTAATTTGTGCCATGCATGTATTTAAAGACTACATTACTGACCGTAACACATCCTACCAGTCTATTTTGACATCGGAAGTAATTTTATCATGCCAAGATTTTTTTTGATGCAACAGGAAGAAACTCATCAATTTCATCAAAACAATGACACGTGCGAAGCTATTAGACTCCCTTATGTTCTCTATTTGAAAATGCACAATTTGTTCTATTGCTATCGTTGCTGCTGTTGTTTTAAAAAATAAAGATTTGTGATCTTCATAAGTAAAACATTAAATATCGGCTCAGATGTAAGTGTACCTGTAGTCTACGTAGCCCTCTTTCCAGTCTGCCGGGGTGCTGCCATTCGGTTTGCCGTGTTTGTCTAGAAGTCCTTTTTGGATCATCATTTTCTTCTGACTGGCCTGAAATGCATGACTTTTTAAAATACACGTAAACACTGATTTCACCAATTAGCAGCGCAATTTCTCTGAATGTTTCTCACCTTCGGTCCAAGGCCCCATTTGCGTGGATACGTGTCTCGCTCCATAATGACCCTCTTGATTTTGGCAACAACACCGTGGTCACATGTGGATATGACAGCGGTCGTCATCAGGGCAACCGCTGAGAAAAAATAAAACTAAGTCAAATCTGCAAAAAGACATGTGACAGCTGTTACTCTGAACAGATGCCGGTAGCTCACAGCCATCAGTCTTGGGTGATAGATAGACGGTCATCTTTGCAGTAATGCTCATGCAATCTATATCACATCATGTGGCTTCAAATGGTGCATGCTGGGGCTGAGAGATATTTGAACATTTACCTGTACAAATGGCTTCTCCTTTCGCAGTTATAATGACTATGTCTTGATTCATTTCAATACCATCTTCATACCGCAGAACGCCTGGTAGCATGATCTTTGCACCGTAACATATAGCGTTCACCTGTTACACAAAAAGCCTCATTAGACCGGCCGACTGACTTCAAAACTGGTCTGGAAATTATAAACAAGTTTCCATACAGCGCTGTCCTTCATGACGATCCTTTTGTGGGAGATGAGGAGTTTTTCCAGAGGGTAGATCACTCTCCTCAGGTAAGTCTCGTCTTTGTTGTGATCAAACTGCCACTGGGCGTCCAACACGTCATGCATGGTCACCAGGTTATCCTTGGAGAAACAAACACTGGTATCAGCCAATGAAAAAGCTTTTAATGTGGCCTTGATCCTTCAGACGTCTTGCAACAGATTAATTAAGAGTTTCTGATGCATTCATTTATTTATTCACTTTTTAACGCCATGCCAGCATCAAGGCTATTTTATGCAAGTAAATATTGTATTTGTTCATGCAATTTAAGAGCCGTAGTCTACTGCGATAATATGGCAATTGTTGTTTTAACGATGTGCGATTTGACATTATCGAGTATTTTGCAAAAACCCTTCAAAAGACCCCTACAGAGCTCAAGCATACTGTACATAAGTCTGCATTTAGAGTGCTTTCTTTCACTGCATGATTCAGCCTATTAAAATGCATTTAGAAATTCAAGATATGGGGACAGAAAATGTATATTTATACTACTTCATATAGCCTAGTTTTTCTCCAAAAATTACCATGATTACAAATGTGATTTTATTTTTTTTTACAACAGTTAAGTTAATTAAGAGACTTACGTTTTAGACACTATATTGCCTGTTTTTGCTCTATTTAGACAAAAAATTCCAAACAAAGCCACAGCTCTGTTTTGCGTCCCTGAGCAAAATGACGGTGTTTCGTTCCTGAATGAATCAACCGTTTAAATGATTCGGTTCAATCGCAATGACTCACTTATTAACAGTGACTTGCTGCCACCTATTGGCGGCTTCAATTTCACATTCAAAGTATCTTTTATTATTATTTAAATAATTTCAAATAGCAGTATTCAATGTTTTATATTTAATATATCAAAACATTATTTATGCATTTGTAATTGCAGGTTAAATGCGTTCACGTCCTGCATTAAACAGTGTAAAAACATCTAAATGCCACTTCAGACGCAGCTTCTGTGTTTCCTCTGCATTTCAAAGATGAATTGTTAATACTCATTTCATTTGCTTGGTAACAGCCCAAATTTCTTATTAATCTAATTCACTGATTAAACGTAAGAATTTGACTCAAAAGATAATGGACACTTTTAGAAAAATGGCTTTATAAAAGGTAAAAATGCCCATAAAATGTAAAAATCTATTTAAACTTATTGGAAAAGATTCATTTCTATCAGTGTGAACTGACCACCACACAGAATATGAAGAATATCAAAAACTTCAGGAGTCAGCCGTCCATGGCAGTCCTTAAGATATCAACACAATAACACACTCGGCAAAATATCGGCCGATTATCGTTATCGATAAAATCCCAGAAAATATCGAGATATTATTTTTTGTCAATATCGCAGTTTAATGTAGGCTGAAGTTTGATGAAGTTGGTAAAGCATTACCACTTCATGTTTCTAATATCACTCAGCCATTTTCTGTACCAAAGATTAATTGCCAGAACTGGGGAGAAAGCCCAGAACTGAACTCAACACTTTGGTTCTGCAGACTTTGGCGAGCGAGTTCTCGATGTACCTTTTCACCCATCACACCGGAGCGCACTCGTCGCAGCTCCTGCATCTGACCGCCAACTCCCAGCAGCAGACCCAGATGAACGCACAGAGTCCGGATGTATGTGCCCGCTTCACAGCTCACCCAGAAAATACCTGCACACCATTTGGGAGCATACAATTACTCTCAATCTTGCACTTTTCAAACAAAGTCATCGTAGTGCATAAAAGCCATCAGTCATGGGTGATAGACCGCAGGTCATCTTTGCACAGAGTGCTAATGCAATCTACATCACATCATGTGGCTTCAAAATAAGAGTCAACATCCAACTGCATTCACAATAGGACTGGGTGATACGACTAAAAACAATCACAATATTTTCCATATCAAATGCTATTGACATTTAATCACGATATTTACTTATGAACAGTGTTGGGGAAAGTTACTTTTAAAAGTAACATATTACAATGTTGCATTACTCCATAAAAAAAAGCAATTGTTACACTTACATTTTATGAATTACATTACTTTTGCATTACTTGTCACCTGGGCTGGTCTTGCGGATTTGTTTTGAATAAATAAAACAAGTTATATTTTTGGTAACTGTAAAGACCCTTTACTTATTTGAGAAAGTAACCCAGGCACTTCGTAATGAGTTACTTCACTAGTTACTTGAAAAAAGTAATCGGATTACGTAACTCGCGTAACTTGTAATGCATTACCCCCAACACTTTTATTAATGGAGAAGGAAATGCTTTCCACTTGTTTGTTAGACCTTGAGAATGAATGCAAACAATTTTACAACAAAACACTGCATTTTTATTTTTTGCTGCACAACATAACCGTGTAAATTAAAGTGGATGAAAAACTAGCTTTTATA